TTGTTGTATCGATTGAATAAAGATCCACGGCTTATGGCGATCAGTGATCCAAATTTTTTGAAATGCGTTACGATCAAGAATATACGATTACTACGAACAAATATCAAGACGTAAATATTTTAAACTAGGAATTTAAAAGGTAATTTGAATCGATGATTCTTATCTTGACTAAATATAAATTATGAAGATAAAAATTGATATGTCCTTTGCTTTGTTACCTGTAAATCTTCAGAGCGATATCAGTACGATGACCACGAGTGATCACGCAAGCATGATTTTTCATATTTGCCGTGTTATCTGTAATTTAAATTACAAGTACTGAAATATTGACAAAGCGTGTAATGTTAATTGGAAGTAATTTAACGAATACCTATATCGTATTAGAAACATATCGAATGATATACGTTTGCGAGATAATCGTTTGACACGCACGTTCACGCTGTGATTGTTTCTAGTGCGTTTTAAAATTTTAGTAAATGTTGTCTACACTGATAACGCTATAGTATTTTCAGATCGCGTTGCAATGTCGTGCGATGATGTTGCGATACTTGATATAAAACGTCAAATTTAATATAGAAACAAATTCCACCAAATTGTAAGAGTAATCAACGAGAAGGATGAATGTTTAACTTAAAAACTAGACAAATGCGCGCAAGAGCAAACGACGCGAACCAATCGGTAAGCCAAACAAGAGAATGCATCAGATTCATGCGTGTAAAGTTTAAGAGCTTTTCTTCCAACTGATTCTACAACTACGACGATTCTTATTCGGTGGATAATCCATATTACAACTTTACGAAGGTGTCGCATTTTTTGATCGACGTTGCGTATTTACGAGTTTAGTTAACGTTGTAAATGCACATTTTCCAAAATATTTTGTCTTACTAGCTGATATGTCGTGAATTTTGAATTATTTTTTTTTACCATTGAGTAGTAACTTGAGTGGTTAACCTAAGGATAACATATATGTGCGAATAGTTTAAACAGACTGATTGATGTTAAAGACAATGTCATTGTTTAATAAACCGAAGAGAAATATCCGTCGTCGACCGTTCAACGACGACGACGAGGATAATGAGAATAGAATGGAAGTGGAAGATACTCAGCCTGTAAAGTCGAAAGCAAAAAAGAAAGACAAGCCGAAGCAGACGCTTCTTAGTTTTGGAGAGGAGCTGGAAGAAGGTAATTTTTCAGAATTATTTGCGCGCTTACGCGTATTTATGCGGATGCGTATTTGTCGTAAGATAAAAATGTATCGTTTATAACGGTCGTAGTTCGATCGTGTACGACATGATAATCACGAATTTTGTTATATTTAACGTTGAGATCGTAATGAAATGGAAAAAATTGATCGATACAGTTAAGTTTTGAATGCACAGATTTTTTTCAATAACGAGTAACATTTTGTTCGTTCGTGTAAATATTTTTATTTCTGAAGTATATTTGTTATATACTTGCTATATGCTGATTTAATTTTATTTATTTTTTACTAAAAATCTATTGTTCCACAGCGGACGATGGAGAAGTCTTTAAAGTGAAAAAATCATCAAGGAGCAAAAAATTAATGAAACAACTGGATTACGAAAGGAAAAGAAAGAAAGGCGAAGAGAAGATGCAAGTGGACTCTGAACAACCAAACATGTCCGTTAAACTGGAAAAAGAATTAGAAATAAAGACGGATGATCTAGTGGTAAGTTATTTCTATGATGTTTATTATTATTAGAATTTCTCAGCGTTCGAATATTTGTCATTTTTGAATCGAAATTTATTTCGTTATATTTTATATTTAACATTTATCGAAAGTACGACAAAGATTGTCAATTTGTGCAAATATCTTTGATGAAATTTTTCTTTCGCAAACCATGTTTTAACGATTCATACAAACATATATATTCGTACAAACATATTTTGTACGATTCTATCGACGTAATGAACATGTATGATGCAATGCAGATAAATCCATATGCCAAGTATATATACGTACAGGTAGTTGCAAAATTAATTAAATTCCCCTGTAAAAAGATTGTAACGTCACGTTTTACTAATTTTTTTACTCTTCTAAGACGTAAAAATATTTTCTAGTATTTTAACGCGGTCTCTGATATTGCAACATCGGTGATGCTTCTATCGATCGATCGATTGATTTGTTTTATCGAGTTAAAAATTTTTATTGCTACTAGGTTAAAATAAAGAATGCAGGACCTCTAATTCTAAATGGACGAGCTGCGTTAGCAGCTGGAAAGGATGATTATACGTCTGACGAAGAGGAAGATGAACCACGCGGTCATAAATTTAGAAGAAATACGGATAAAGCTGATACGATGAAAATTCTTCTTGAAAGTACGTAGCGTTTATCGATACGATATCCGTGATGGTCGAAGCTTGTTATCTTTGTATATTTATTTTCTGAAATATTTTGAAAACATTACGACGAACGTTATTTTATATTTACAAGGTGGTTGCATACCAGATGCTGCGATGATACATGCAGCTAGGAAGTGCAGACAAAAAGCAAGAGAGTTAGGAACTGATTATATTCCTATGGAGGAACAAAGGTGATATTTTCTGCGACGTAATTAGCACGGTGTAAAATTTGCAAAATTTGATCGATTGCTGTTAAATTTTAAATTTATTTCATAAAATATTGATATGTCAATTTCCAGTGATGATAAAGGCAAATCGAGACTTATCAGAGAAGAAGATCACGATAGAAGCGACGATGATGATTCGCAAGACAGAATCGATATGACTGTGAACACCGAAGCGCGTGATAAAGAAAAAAGGAGAGAAGCGTTTCTCGCTTCGCAAGTTCCGTTAAAACGTTAGGTTTTGATTTGTTTGATTTATTGATAATTTATTGTTTGTTATTTGATAGATACGTAAATACGTTGTATTTATTTTTTCCTAGTTTCTGACGATGAGAGTGAACATGAAAATGAGGAAGAAGAATGGGAAGCTCAACAAATCAGGAAAGGTGTGACTGGTGCGCAGGTAACGTTTGTGTGAAAAATTTTTGCGATGTAGATTGTTAGATTTGTAATAAACGACGCGTAAAAATATCTAGATTGCAGCAGCGCAACAGGATTCCATGATGCAACAACAATATTCAATGGGTGTGAACGTAAGCTCAATGATGGGAAGTGGAATATCTTTGGAAATGATGATGATGCCAGCTCCGCCGCCACCTCCCGCAATTCAGCCCCCAGATCCTACAAAAATCGTGCCGATTACTCCTCGAGAAGTCGTGATTAAAATGCGTTCGAGGTAATGAAAACTGAATTAAAATTATCCGATACGAATTACGAGATACGTTTAATTTTGGAAATATAAAGATAGTTTGATCTGTAAAATTGAAATAAAAAATATAATTTGTAGATTGGACAGTTTGAAAGAAGTACATCGACGTCGTCGATTAGATCGGGAACGTTTAGAACAAGAGTTAGGACAAACTGTGAAAGAACTGGACGATGGTGAGATTCGTGCACCGCAGCTTGCGCAGCGCTTCAGATATTACCAAGAGTTGCGTGGGTATGTCACTGACTTGGTAGAGTGTCTTGATGAGAAGGTGGGTTTATACGCTGTCACGTTTTTTTATGTGCACCGGGGTTTTCCATGCAATTTTTGGCTGTATAATTGTTCAGCCATGTTAGAAATGATGCATTTTTCTTGCCAAATATTAATTAACGACAATATATACGCTACAGTTTCTTTTAAAGTATTATTCTTTCGAATATTTTTTAATTTATTTTATATCGGTGATACTCGAATAATTATTGGATAATATTGTAACGATCATTGCTAAATGCATTGTGAAAAATTTTAAATACTAGAAATATTTAAGTGTTTGAACGTTAAGAGGTATAACGGAATATGCTCTTAAATGCTTATTATTGAATTGGAAGTTTCCATTGTTGTATTTCTTTTATGTTGTTTTGTCTTATGCGTGTCGTAAAATTCTGAAAAAAAGAAAAATGCACGTTAAGTTAAAGTTTAAAATTTACGAAAAAAAATTAGAACATATATATATACAAATATATATGTGTGTATAATGTATATTTGCATTGCCGGGGGTCTGTATTATCTTCTCTGTATTGAAAAATTATCGCGTAGTAAAAATTATTCTTAAGTATTTATAAAAATTGAAAAGATATATATATTAATATGCGTGGTAAGTAAATCGTAATATTTATTTTCAACTTTTTTGATCGAAAGATATCCAATGGCTGTGGAATTACAAATTAAGTTCCAGCAAATGTTGAACGAAAATATTATTTCGTACTCGTAATGTGTATTATTTGGTATTTGTAAGATATATTTTATCCTTTTTTTATTTAAACTAAATTTATTAAAATATTACTAAAATTTTATACAAACATTTTCTGAAACAAAAATAATTCCCAAAGTCATTGAGTTAATTCAATGTGTCAATGTTGATGTGTAACTTTTTTGTTAGCTGCCGCTGGTTGTTGGATTGGAGCAGCGTTGGTTAGATCTTTATAGCGAACGTGCAACTGAACTAATGGAAAGAAGGCGACAAGATACGAGGGATCAAGCAGAAGAGATTACGACGGCTGCGAGTCAGTTATTTTAGTATAATTATATTTGTAGAAAAGAATATAAAAATATATATGAAAATAGTTAAATGTAACTATATTTTTATTAATATAATTTATATACGAATCATTCTTTAATTACAGGAGGACAACCTATACGAAAAGGGCCAGAAGTGGAAGCTCGTATTCGTCGAGCTACAGAAAGAGAAGGAAGAAGAGCTCGTCGAAGAAGAGCTAGAGAATTAGCTCCTACGTTACCGAAACATATCGACGGAATGTCTAGCGACGATGAAGTTACCGAGCAACAAAATCTCGCGTTTAAACAAACAAAAGGTTGTACTTTGGCAAATTATTATTTTAGGAAGAAGTAGAATTTGCAATGTCTGTTGTTATCTGACGAGTGTAAAT